TGCATCTTAAAATGTTTTCTGGCTTAAAGTGATACACATTACCATGTTTTTGGCTGTGTGCATGAGCTGTTCTCCCCCAACAATAACAAGCCCCCGTCACACGGCTCTCTCCTTTTGTCTGTGTTCATTTGTTCAATCAGATAAGCTGGCAGCTCTCATTTTAACTTTCAGATTTTTGTTGTGGCTGTTTAGCTTCCTCTCAATATCACAACAGGCTTTGTTCAGGCGGTGTGAGTGTATCCACACTCCCACTGAGTTTATTACTCATGCAGTAATTTACCTCGCGCCTAGCTAAAGGTCTTGTTATGTGGTTTTAATACTGAATCTATTTGGTTTAGAACATAAACTTTTATTTCATTTCTACGTTAGAGCAGAGAGAGTGGCAGGGGGTCATCTTGTTTTGGTCTCAGGACAGGAAAATATTTAGAAGTGCTGCCTTTTGGGATTTGGCTGTGACTGGCCAACTTCCCCTCGCTCCTCATTCTGTGCACTCTGTCCCATTCAACCACACATGTTGTGGGGAACTAGACAGTTCCCTGAAGCCCCCGCCCCACCACCAGTCTGAGAATAAAGGGGGGTCGGGGAGGGCGTTGTTCTTTGGCTCCAGCCAGGAAAAGGGGTCTCGGGGGTTTGTTGTTTTTGCTGTCCGATAGCATCGACACGGGTTCCTTGGGCCTGGGTGTTTATTGTGCTACCCAAGCAGGCTGTGAGGAGCCATGTCGAGGAAGGTGGAGCATGCAGTCCAAGATCTGTCACCATGGAGACACAGCGTCGACAGCATCAGTCAGTCACCCCACCCCGCACCCCCCAGGAAGTGTCAGAGTATGCACCTTCGAATGTCCCGTGGGGTCTGTGGGCTTCCAGTTCCCAGCTGCTCATCAGCTGAACAGATGTTCATCAACTTCTATCTGCACTGATTACCTGCAGTCAGGAAAAAAGTAGGACACCCCATTAAAGAGGCAGGTCTTTATAAAGAAATGTTCACATATCAGTGTCCAATCTTGTTTTTTTTATTTCTGTAAAAGAAAGTGATTTAAATGAAATTAAACAACAAAAGATAGCACTGTTTTACTCATGAAACAAAAGATATGAACAAATAGAAGCACTCGGAGAGTGCAAACCTCTGCCAAGACCAATTTCCCCCATTTTGTAAGAGTTAATGCATAAAAGCAGAGATGGAAACACATTTGCCAAATAAGTTGTGACGTAGTGAACATTTAAGCAGGTAGTATGCACGGAATTTGTTCTTGGTGGAGTCCAATGTGAAAAAAAGTCAGACTCGTCACCCGACGTTATTCTTCGTCAAACTGGTGTCGGATTAAGCTCCTARGTTTTCATCAGTCACATTTCACCATGTAAAACGTCTGTTTTATCCTCTTGTATGAGTTTGTAATGGTTTGACTCTCTTTATAAAGTGCTTCCTGGCTACCCCCGTCTCCAAACTTTGAGGCCCGGCAGCTCTCTGTTTACAAGCCTAGTAGCGAGAAACTGTTTTGATTCGTTGTTTCGGAAATGTGGTGTGTTTGAGGAAATGGGAAAATTAGGTTTCGAGGTGCAGTCACGCACTTCCTGGTTACAAAACGTTCTGTAAATGCGCATATTATGGCAAAAATTATTTATCATTAAATATGGTTTTAAAATAACTTTTATAAAGTTTGAAGTCCGTGCTGTCCAATCCAGCTCACTGTTTTTTACAGAAGCCCTGTGAAAGCATCACAGCTTTGCCGATCTCAGAGTGTTAAAAGAAAAAAATTCCTGCATCCGCATCGTGATCTGGAACATCACCAAAATTTAAAGATGTGTTCCTTGGCCCAGTACCCACATGTGGTAAAAATGTCATGCCAATCCGTCCAGAAGTTTCTGAGTAATGTTGTCCACAGACAGACAGACAGACATACGCGACCAAAACCTTTAGACACCCTACGCTCTCATAACTAGTGTTGCCCTCTTTGACTGAAGTAACGTCAGTGAGATGCTTCTTGTGGTCAGATACCAATCTCTGACATTGATCTGAAGGAAGTTTGCCCCACTCATCAACCCAGAATTCTCTCAACTGCGAGATGTTTGAGGGTTTTCTTGCCTGAACAGCCTGTTTTAAGTCACTCCACAGCATCTCAATGAGATTAAGATCCAGACTTTGACCTGGCCGTTCCAGGACTCTCTCCTCTTCTTAGTTTTCAGCCAGGTCCTTGGTGGATTTACTGTTATGTTTTAGGTCATTGTCATTTTGCAGTGTCCAGTCCCCCTTCAGCTTTTATTTTTTACAGATAGTTTCACCTGTTCCTCAAACACCCTCTGATACACAATATAACTCACGGTGGATTCTATGAGGGTGAGCTGGCCTCGTTCTGATACAGCAACGTATMGCCAAATCATGACACGCCCACCTCCATGCTTCACAGTTGGTATGAAATTATTTTCTTTGAGTGCTGTGTTTGGTTTACTCCAACCATATCTGGTGTCCAAATAATTCAATTTTAGACTCATCTGTGCAAAGAACATTATTCCAGAAGTTGTAGTTTTTTTGTTTTTCATAGAGAGCAAAGGCTTCCTCCTTGCACACCTCCCATGAAAATAAAACTTCTGTGTTTTTCTGATAGTTAAGTCACACACTTTCACATCGACAGTAGCAAGAGCCTGCTGTAGGTCCTGTGATGAAATTTTAGGATTTGTCATGGTTGACCTGATGGATAGCCCCTCATCAGATCTAAACAACAAAAGAAATCTGAAGCTTCTATGTTTAACAGTTTTTGAGTTATAAGCATTTTTGCATGTGCTGACACCCCGTTTGAAAGGAGGCCCCTCCTCTTTTTTTTTTTTTTTTTTGTGGGGGGTTTTTTTTTTTTTTTTTTTTTTTTTTTTTTACTCCCCCGTTCCCCGCTGGCC